TAAATCCTTTCCATGTCAGAGAAGTTAACAGTAAAGTTGCTCCATAGGTGGCTCTGTCTGGACTTCTTTAAACCTTATGCCTCCCAAAATAATTCCTCCGTTTTTCAAAATTCTGTCATTTTACAACCACAGACTCACATAGGTTTAAAGCTGTTGGTCTTTGACAATCTTAATAAAATACTTTCTGCTTTTACTTTTATCCCTACAAAGAACATTTTTATTGTATTTGGGTAAAAGATTAAGACAGTTCTTAACTTTTTCAAAGTAAGTCACTTAAAAAGCTGAACAAAAAAGAAAATGAGTCGAAGCTTTATATCATTTGGCTCTCCACTTTCTGCAGATAAAATCTTCTACCAAGCGGTAGAAAAAGTAAAGTCATGCACAGGACATATAAAAGACAACTGTTTACCCTTGTTGTCTGGCGATAATCTCCAATCGGGATTTTATGTTGTTCATAGAGGGTGCTGAAACATTAAGAATCATTTAGAACATTATTGCACTAGGATGCAGAAAAATAAATGATTGGAATATTTGTTTACCCTGAAACTCTTCTTGGAGTCGCTCCAAAGATCTCACAAGTGGCTCACAAGGTTTGGATTCATCCCTGGAAATCTCCTATTGTGGGACATAGGAGAGTGAAAAAACCCCAACAAAGGACCTGTTGTGCAGCAGTGGGAGGCTTGTGTCAACACTTTAGTGCCGCCTGCCCATCCCATCAACGAACACGAGCTGCGTGACACCACAGCTAGGGCAATATTGACACTAAGGATCTGTTACACACCGTTTTAACCGGTGGGCAAATATATATTGAGTGTTCATCCTTTGCTTTGAGAATCTAATTCCGTCATGATCATTGCGACAGGAAGCTTTTTAATTAACGCCATCTGCATTACCACTTTGGACCACACATTACTTTAGACCACCAAGTAATCAAGATTGCCTTACCAGACTGACCCCATCCAAGCTCCACTTTAAATAAATCCACAAGCATTATCTTCTTTGGATCTTCCCCCCGTGAAAAATCTAAAGAAAACTGAAACTCTTCCATCTCCCAGAGTCTCTGCACGCAAGTTAGCTTTGTGTTAAATTTAAACCAAAGCAGGCTGAAACCTCTAAATAAAAACCTTCACACCATTTAATTGCTTACTTTGCAAAAAAAAAACATTTATATGGAATTGATGTTACATAGAAAAATAGATGGTTGTTTTGACAAGTCATCAGTCCTGCTCCTCAATCTTGCCCTTTTGAGCTCCTCCCCCAATTTTTTATTTTTATTTTTTAAGTCTGTGGACTGAGATGAACAAACTGAGTGAACTAACCGCACAGTTTGAAGTATCTCCTTGTTTGATCTAATGATTTCCTAATGTTATGTGGGTTCCAAACAGCTTTAGGAGAGAAACAGTCCCACAGTATCATTGAACCTCCACCTTAGTTGAGGGCTTTTTTAGGGCTCTAATGCAATACAGAGCTTTAGACATTTCTACCTTTGTATCAAACCCCTTCCTCAGAAAGGTTAATTGGAAAGTTAAAGTAATTTTCCAACCTATTTTCTCACGATCGTTCTGCACAAGCATCGGCAGAAACTGCTTTTATTGTGGAACATTAACACACAGCCATCATACCTCAATAACATGCTCTCTCATATTTTCCATTTTAAAAATAAGCTTGTGTCATTTCAATTTATACATCATTAAAACAGAAAACCTCAGATTACGAAGCTTTCTTGACCCTTTGACAAACTGAACGTGTCACATACATCTAAAAAATTAAAATGATTAAAAGTAAGAGCGACAATAAGTTCAGCTTGGTCAGTTTTGTGAATGCATTTTGATATCTCATTGAGTTTTTATTTTTTAATTGAATAAATATACTAAAATAAAATGTCAAACCTCATATCCTTCAGCTATAAAAAGATGGATTTATTTTAAGCTTTATAGACAACTTCCTGTTCTAATGTAGCTTGTAAGTGAGGATAAGATTAGAAGCACATCAGTTCCTATAGTGGGAATCGAACAAAGACTCAAGTATCCCACTAGGGATGATCTAATAGCAGTGCATCGCCACACACCAGTTCCTGAGTCATCACATTGGATTCTTAAAGAACCCATCCCAAAATGACTCAACAAAACCATAAGGCTGGATCTTCTCTCCTTTGGGATGGATGTGTAATTAAAGACCAAAAGGTTTGTTCTAAACATCTTACCATGCAGCGTCGGACAAGCTGAAATGTGTCATTCCAACTCTTCTCTGCAAACTTGCAATGCAAGTTAGAAATTCTGGTATTTTCTTTCATTACTAAAAAGAAAAACAAAAAAAGGAAACATCAGTTTTCAAATGGCAAATTTTCCACATTTTCATCTTTGCAGTAAATTGCCACTTATGGAGCTTCAGGGTTACACGTTTTACTTCAAGCCTAGACTTCCTCTGTCCAAGCAACAATGCAACAAATGAAGGGGGGTTTGGTCTGGTGATAGAAATATTTCAATATTTTAACATATCACTCATAGTTAAATATTTCCCTCCTTATCTCATCCGATTACCCAAAATTGTCTCAGTGGGAAGAGATCCGCAAGGGTAACCCAGGCACCCCTTTTCGCCATAACACTATTCAGCTAATCTTGTGGAGTTTCCAGACACATTTTTATTACAGTCATTTCCGTAAATACAAGCACGACCATTATGGATTTTTTATTTTGGTATGTTATAAAACAAAGAATTATCCAAAGGTGACTTGCAGTCAATACTCCAATGGGACATTTAACCAAATAAAGAACCGACACAAAAATAAAATTATATGGAACCCTGACTTTGTAATAACAAGAAACGTTATGAGAACTTCTGATGAGCTGTAGATCTGATTTGTTCCATATTAGGGCTGAAACAATCGTATGAATTGTGAATAATCGATTATTGAAATAATAGTCCACTAATTTAGCAATCGATTAATCGTTAACTGGAGTGTAAAGACTCTAAAACATGCCTTGAGCTGACAGCACGACCCACTTAGAGCAGTAATTATACCAAGATTATATTTAAGATAAAAAAAATATATATATATGTGTCTGTCAATATGCTCTATCCAGAACTCCACCATTAGAAAAGTTTGAGTTTCACCTGGTTTAACTTCGTAAAAGGTCTTCTTTAAGTAATTTTTGGCTATTCAATTATTGATTAAAAATAATAATAATAATTGACAGATTAATCGATTTGCAAAATGATTGTTAGTTGCAGCCCTACTCAAGTTACAGAGCACCTTAAAAACAAGGCATAAAGCGAAATAGATTACTAGCCTTTATTGCTATTGATAAGATCGATGATGCAGTTTGTTCATCCATGCAATTAGGGTTGCTGGTTTGAACCCCTACTCTCATTCATTGTGTCCTTGGCCAAGACATCTCCTGACGTAAAAATGTGCCATACTGGAATCAAAGTCCATTTTCCATTTAATTCTGGTCACTAAAGAAAACACTTAAACACAGGAACAGTCAAAGCGCAAAACATCTGAAAATCTTGGTCATGTTAAAATAGTTCTCAATGCACTTATTTGGAGGAGCTTTTTTGTCATACTTCTTTTTAGTTTAGTAGATTTTAAGGCATTTTCCTGTCAGCAGGTTCACTTTTCCCCCTCATAATTTAGATTTACCAATGGGAAGATCCTGCACACAGGTGGTTTTGTGCTTTGGAAGAGGAATGCAGCCATCAGCTGATCCTTTGTCACATTCTCTCAGTTTCCAGCAGTTCTTGAAATCTGCTTCATTGCACTTCTCTTTTTGAGACAAAGCAAAATTACTAACATTATTCAATTTTTAATTCTTGGGTTTCATTAACTGAACATTAAAGTTAACTGTTATTCAAAAGACCAGAGTTTAATACTACTAAAGGCAGACAAAGATACTGTACCTGTTTGTTGGATTCAGATGTCTGATCTCAAGAACTTTAGACCCGTTTCACTGCAAAAATAGTTCAGACTTGTTGGTTAGGTTAGTCTTTTTATGTTTTTTTTTTATGTTAACATATGAATGAGGACATGAGTTTTAAAAAAATGTTTGACATATTAAAACACTAAAAACTGTTTTCTATGTGTTTCTGCCTTAAAGCATGGGGCTTGTTAATTTCCCTTTTCCCTTTAAACGTTTCCCAATTTATGCAGATTTGCCGGATGCATCTTCCAATTCTTTAGTACAGAAGAGGACTAGGGCCACTGAGAAAATAAAACTAATTTTTAAATTTTACTTCAGTATAATATGGGAAAAGGTCAGAATTCTGACTTTTCCCATATTGTACTGAAATAAAATTTAAAAATCAGTTAATTTTCTTTCATTTGTTCAGTGGCCCCGATCCCAATCCTCTTCTGTACACATGTCTTCCTTCATGGTCAGAATTCTGACTTTAAACTCAGAGTTCTGACTTTTTTTCTGCATATTATACTGAAGTAAAATAAAAAAATTATTTTTTTTCCAGTGGCCCCAATTCCCTTCTGTACTTTAGTTCAGAATTTAATCTCAGAGTTCTAACTTTAATCTCAGAGTTCTGACTTTGATCTCAGAGTTCTGACTTTGTTCCCTATAATATACATATTATATATATGAAACAAAAAATAAATAAATAAATAAATAAAAAACAAATCTGCTCATTTTTTTTATTTTTTCAGTGGCGCTAATTCTCTTCTGTACTTTAGTTCAGACTTTAAGCTCAGAGTTCTGACTTTTTCCCTATATATATGAAACAAAAAATTATATTTAAAAAAATCAGCCCTAATTCTCTTCTGTACTTTAATCTCAGAGTTCTGACTTTAATCTCAGAGATCTGACTTTTTTCCTCACATATAATAACAAAATCATAAAAAAAAATAAAATAAAAAAAATCAGTTAACTTTTTTTATTTTTATTTTCAGTGGCCTCAATTCTCTTCCGTACTAATCCATACATTATTATCTTTTTTTTTTTAATAAAAACAGCGCAGCTAGGGTGTCCCTGGCGGGCGGGCGTTGTCAGCCAGAGCCAAGCCCACAGGACGTCCATCCAGTCCGCTGCTAACAGCTACCGCCACAGTCCCTGGAGTTAGCCACCGAGCTAGCCATGAGCTAACAGGCACACCAAGCCGAGTGTTTTTATTTAGCCTTCCCTCTCTCAGCTTTACTCTATCATTCTGCCCAAGGGGAACCATTTAACTCACAGGTATGTTATCCATCAAAAGAAAAACCACCCCACCTTGTTTAACCGTCAACTCCTTTTTTTCTCCTGTTAGTTGTGATTAGCTGCTGGGTAACCGACCGTTTGCTGCTAGCTTCCTCTGCTATTATCGTAGCATCTCGGTGTTGAAGGCATCTGTTGCTGGGTATCAGGATGTTAAAGGTTTAATTTTTAAGGGCGTTTCAAAGCCGCTTTTAGCCTGAGCTCCTCCAGCTGGTAATTAAAACGTCAGGTGACGTGTTTACCTGCTTTGAGTAGCCACTCGCTTATTAGCCACATCGCTCACTGGAACAGCCTGAAGGCTTGGATTTAAAACATTTACAATGTAAAATAGATACATAGATCTGTTAATGGGCTTATTTGAGTTATTTATACCTATGCTAATACAGTGATTTATTAGTTTACAGAACATTTAGCCTGCTAAGTTAGCAGGCACTGCTGTTTTAATGCTAACTTATTACTCCTACTCGTTCATTAGCAGAATATTGTAATAATTTCGATAATATATGGTGGTTGAAAAAGTAAAGATGCATTAAATGTTGAAATACATAAACTCTTGCGGAATGTGAATAGTTAAACTATGAGGTGTTTACAGTTTCCATATGAAATAGCAGGTAAGCACTACATTTAAGTGCTAATTCGTTACATTGACTGACAGCTGACTTGGCAAATGACTTAATTTGTCTAATGAAGTATTGGCAGAAATCCCATATATAATCCTACTTTCCAAGTGGTCTGCCTTGGCCTGTGGTGGGAAATGGCCTCCACCCACTCTTTCTATACATCGTGCTTCCTCTAAAATCCTCCTAGATTCATTCTGACCGCTGAATAGATGCAGCAATGTGTCACTTATGACTCTATCATACCACCATGTGTTTATGAGGAATAAAACAAAACCTTTTGTAACAACTATAATACAAAGATCTTATATTGTCTCAAAGGAGAACACTAGCAAAGTTGAAGGATACAAAAAACAAACAGTTTTGGACATTTAGCTGCAGTCAGAAAATTGAATATTGATCCACTTATTGTTATAATTAATGTAAGTTAAGGCAGTGATGTTATTTTTTCTCTTATTCTTAAAGAAGACGATCTTGGATTATCATTTCACCTCGATTCGGCTTTAGTTTTAATTTAAGAATTATAAATTCTCTATATTTTCAACAAATCTATTGAACCCTTGTAAATCATAGCCATTGCTTTTCAGCCTTGCTCTCGTTTGCATAAAGAGACTCTTTTGCATTGAATCTTAACTCTGCACTGTGACTGCTGCGTGCTTTGAAACTCTGACTTTTTCTGCTCATTATAAGCTATAGGTAGCCATACTTCTTGGACTTGTTGGTGTTTAATTATGTTACAACCAAGTACTTTAATGGTTGTTGTATAGATTTCATGTAATAGAGCAACACGAAGCTGTGCATAAACAAAATCCAACCCTAACGTAAAGTCACCTAACTTGTAAGTAGAGTTTACCTGTGTGAAATTTAATCTCACTTGACAGCCAGCTGTCCTTTGAAGGTTTGTTAGAGAATGTAGGTGATCAAAAAGAGCAGCGGAACAAAGCAGAAAAGTTGAGAAGTTTAAAGCAGGGTGAGGTTACAAAACAAAATCCAAAAGACTGTATAATCCACAGGGTGCTGCTCAGTTCATCATCCGAAAAGCAAAAGTGTATGACACAACTGTAAACACACCTACACATAGCCGTGTATTTGTACTAACAGGCATAGCAAGTAGAGCTTAAACAAGAACAAGCAGTCAAGAGAGGGAAGAGAGATTCACAGCAAAGGTGGGAAGAATCTTTAGATAAGACAACTCTCCACCGATTTACCCTTTTATGGAAGATTGGTTGGAACAATGCCATCATAGGAAGGAAGCCATATGTAGAACTTGTCCTAGAAGGCCCCTACTTTTACATTTTTGCCTATATTCAAAATGCCCTGCGTGGTTGGAAAACAAACACTGCACAGTGCATACACATCTCCACTGTGGAACATGGTGTTGGCAGTATCATGGCACAGGATGGCTTTTCTTCAGCAGGGATAGAGGAAGCTGTGACGGATGTAGCTGAGCACTGAGGAATGCTGGAAGAAATTTTTGTTTAAGGTCACACAACATTTATATGTGAGGCTGAGGTTCACCTTCATACAACCCAAGCTCCAGCTGAATGTAGCTCTTTAATGGTTTAATCTTGGCTCAGTGTTAGAACGGGTTGTTAAAGTGCAGACATAAATCCATTTAAGTATCTGTGACGAGACATAGAATTGAATGTCACAGTAGCTTTCCATGCAGTCTGAATGAGCTTGACCCATTTTTCTGAAGAGAGAAATCGGGGAAACGTTTCAGTCTCTACTGTAGTGTGCAGTGATGGTAGGGACCTAGCCTAAAGTATGTTACGCTAAAATTGCAGGGAAAGGTGCTTCTGCAAAGTAATGAATATGTTGTCACAGCTGAGCACAAACGCGGGAAACCATTTCTGGGTTTTATTTAAGAAGAAATAGAAAAGCTTGTTTCCTTTTTCCTTTCACTCTGTGATCTTGCACTACTTTGTGATGGTCTTGCACTACATTTGCGTCAGATCCCAATAAAATACAGTAAAGTTCATGGTTGCTGAGTGAAAAAAGTTGAAAGGAAATACATTTGCAGAAAAACAGAATAAACAGCTATTTCTTTTAATTTAAATATTTAATTGAATGATAAATGGTGATAAAAGATAGACCTTTAGAATTAAATCAAATAATTTAAAAGACACAAAAGGAAAGCAGAATAGCTGCAGAAGGGGAATAAAATGTGAACAAGATGAAAAACGTTTGTAATGTATCTGTCTGGGTCCATCTAACCATTTTTCCCTCTGCAGCTCATTTATAGTGTAGCATCACTCTCTCCTGGCTAAGCGATCTACCTGCAGATGTGGAACAAAGAGGCTGTGGAAACTATGATACAACTACGTCCTTATCTTTCCCTTCTATCTCTTTACTTTTACAGGGTTATCACTCTGCACTTAGCGGCTCCTGGAATTCTTTTACGATCTTTGTTCCAGAGTCCCACCCACCGTCTGCCTTGACCTTTAACCTCCTGGCGCGTGCGTCTACACGGAGCCATGGCCGCTGCGAAACCCAAAGGACAGAACTCTCTGGCCCTACACAAAGTGATCATGGTGGGCAGTGGAGGCGTGGGGAAATCAGCCCTCACTCTGCAGTTCATGTATGACGAGGTGAGGGTCTCGCTTAGTAGCGGTCATGCAAAATTCCCACAATTCCTGCAGCCGTAATCAGTGGGGAAATGACTTTTTCTTCCAGTTTGTTGAAGACTACGAGCCGACTAAAGCCGACAGTTACAGGAAGAAAGTGGTGCTGGATGGAGAGGAGGTGCAGATAGACATCCTTGACACAGCCGGCCAAGAGGACTACGCAGCCATTCGGGATAACTACTTCCGCAGTGGCGAGGGTTTCCTCTGCGTGTTTTCCATCACAGAGCTGGAGTCTTTTGCAGCAACAGTTGACTTTAGGTACGCAAGAATGTATTGAAATCAAACTACAACTTTTAACTGTTACAAATGGTGCCAAAAAAGGACCAGGTTACAAGGCATCTTCTCTATATATTAATAATAATAATAGAAGAGATACATCTGTATATAATCAAAGAACACAGAGGAGCAATGCATATAAAAGTCCATCAGACAACAGGAAACACCCTTTGAGCTGCTGAATCAGCTGTCATGTCAGTAAAAGTTAATAATTTACTGGTAGTTTAGTTGGACAAATAAGTCATTATTTTTAATTTAATCATACACACAGGGGGAGATTGGTTTGAATTAAGGGTATTATTTTTTTATTTGTTTTGAAAAATGTCAGTCTGAAAGGGAATATTTAGATAAATGTCAAACCAGATTCCAGCAACAACCAGAGTAATACAGAACATCAAAGGCAAAGAAAATAGATGAGCTCATCATTGAAGTTCATAGAAACCCCCCAAAACAGCCCTGATTTTACTAACAAGCATCCATCCCACCATAAGGAAATTAATAAGAGCCATCTTAGAAATAAATGATGGCAAATTAAAAGGTTTATAACAAGTTATTTATCCAAGATATGAGAAAAATGGGTCGGAGGAATATTTCTGCCTTTTCAGTCAAACTAAAATCACAAATACTGATATTTTGGCACCAAATAGTGAATGTTTAGTTTTTATGAGTTTATACAGATTTTTAGAAAACCTGTATTAATCACAATATAAATGAAATGTTCTATTATTTCATAACTTCGTTCTTTTATTCAAACACATTTTAAACATGTTTACTAATAGACTGGTGTCTTTATGCCTTTTTGATTTTGAGGATTCTTTATTTTCAGTAAAGTAAAAAAAAATATTAAATAGGGCTTAAGAAATCATCCAGTAGTGCAGGCTTAATGGAAAGAATATAAACTACTTGTCTTAAGGTGGTAATAATTAATTTAGGGCTGCATCTAAAGATTATTTTGCAAATCAATTAATCTGTTGATTATTTTTTTCAAATTATAATCGGATAGCCAAAGGTTCGTTAAACCAGGTAAAATATAAATATAAATAAATTTTTTTTTTTTTTTTTTTTTACAAATTTTGGTATAACTGCTGCATGTTTTACAGTCCCTATAGTACCAGTTAATATTTAACCGATTACTAAATTAGGTGACAATTATTTAAATACAGGTGCTGGTCATAAAATTAGAATATCATGAAAAAGTAGATTGATTTCAGTAATTCCATTTAAAAAGTGAAACTTGTATATTATATTCATACATTACATACAAACTCATATATTTCAGATGTTTATTTTGTTTAATTTTGATGATTACAAATGACAACAAATGAAAATCTCAAATTCATCATATCAGAAAATTAGAATATTACTGAAGACCAATAAAAACAAAGGATTTATAGAAATGTTGGCCAACTGAAAAGTATGAACATGAAAAGTATGAGCATGTACAGCACTCAGTATTTAGTTGGGCCTCCTTTGGCCTGTATTACTGCAGCAATGCGGCGTGGCATGGAGTCGATCAGTCTGTGGCACTGCTCAGGTGTTATGATAGCCCAGGTTGCTCTAATAGTGGCTTTTAGCTCTTCTGAATTGTTGGGTCTGGTGTATTGCATCTTCTTCTTCACAATACCCCATATATTTTCTATGGGGTTAAGGTCAGGAGAGTTTGCTGGCCAATTAAGAACAGGGATACCATGGTCCTTCAACCAGGTACTGGTAGCTTTGGCACTGTGTGCAGGTGCCAAGTCCTGTTGGAAAATGAAATCTGCATCTCCAAAAAGTTGGTCAGCTGCAGGAAGCATGAAGTGCTCTAAAACTTCCTGGTATGTGGCTGCGTTGACCCTGGACCTCAGAAAACACAATGGACCAACACCAGCAGATGACATGGCACCCCAAACCATCACTGACTGTGGAAACTTTACACTGGACTTCAAGCAACGTGGATGAAGTGCCTCTCTTCTTTTCCTCCAGACTCTGGGACCTTGATTTCCAAAGGAAATGCAAAATTTACTTTCATCAGAGAACATGACTTTGGACCACTCACCAGCAGTCCAGTCCTGTTTCTCTTTAGCCCAGGCAAGACGCTTCTGACGCTGTCTGTGGTTCAAGAGTGGCTTGACACAAGGAATGCGACAGCAGAAACCCATGTCTTTCATACGTCTGTGTGTGGTGGTTCTTGAAGCACTCACTCCAGCTGCAGTCCACTCTTTGTGAATCTCCCCCACATTTTTGAATGGGTTTTGTTTCACAATCCTCTCCAGGGTGCGGTTATCTCTCTTGCTTGTACACTTTTTTCGACCACATCTTTTCCTTCCCTTCGCCTCTCTATTAATGTGCTTGGACACTGAGCTCTGTGAACAGCCAGCCTCTTTAGCGATGACCTTTTGTGTCTTGCCCTCCTTGTGCAAGGTGTCGATGGTCGTCTTTTGGACAACTGTCAAGTCAGCAGTCTTCCCCATGATTGTGTAGCCTATAGAACTAGACTGAAAGACCATTTAAAGGCTTTTGCAGGTGGTTTGAGTTAATTAGCTGATTAGAGTGTGGCACCAGGGGCCATCAATTTTGAACCTTTTCACAATATTCTAATTTTCTGATATGATGAATTTGAGATTTTCATTTGTAATCATCAAAATTAAACAAAATAAACATCTGAAATATATGAGTTTGTATGTAATGTATGAATATAATATACAAGTTTCACTTTTTAAATGGAATTACTGAAATCAATCTACTTTTTCATGATATTCTAATTTTATGACCAGCACCTGTAATTGACGAATTACGATTAATCCGATTGATTGTTTAAGCCCTTAATTAACTGATTAATTTAACAAACCGGTCTTATTAGAAGTATATTGGAGCTATACCTGTTCCACGGCTGTTTTGCAGAGAGCAGATTCTTCGAGTGAAGGAGGATGAAAACGTTCCCTTCCTCTTGGTTGGTAACAAATCAGACTTGGACGACCGGCGGCAGGTTAGCGCGGACGAAGCGAAGGCACGCGCTGAGCAATGGGGAGTGTGCTACGTGGAGACCTCTGCCAAAACCCGTGCCAATGTGGATAAGGTTTGTCACCCCCTGCTGGCCAAACAAGCTCATAGTTGAAAGAGATAAATTTGTAACTTTGTGTTTGGGTTTGTTTCCAGGTGTTTTTTGACCTGATGAGAGAGATCCGAGCAAGAAAAATGGAGGACAGCAAAGAGAAGAACGGGAAAAAGAAAAGCAAAAGTTTGGCTAAAAGAATTAGAGAGAGGTGCTGCATTTTATAGTGGCAAAGGCGAGCAGGCTAGCTGCTACTGTACTTGTACATTTCTCAGACTTTTTTGCATTTATTTTGTGCCCAGACCTGACCATGACTTTCTGTTCCTGGCTAAAACAGGACCTCTGACCTTGAGTCAGGAAGTAGTGAGGTGGCACTTCATCCACCATTTTTAGCTCTTAACTTTTTATGTGCTGACACTCCAAATAATTTATGATTTCTCTAACCTCTCTTTCTTACTCTTGGCCACATCAGAGTTTTAATAGATGAGTGGTGTTTTCATTTTAGGCGAAAGCTTGCCAAAAAAATAAAAAATAAGACACTGAAACATCCAAAAAAAAAAAAAAACCATTAAAAATGTATAGTGTGTTTATATAATCTTCCGACAGCTGTACAGGTGTACGTTTTAGAGAGAAGGATCGACACGTTTCAGAGACGAGGTTTAAAGGTACACTATGCAACCGGTGTTGATTTTCCAGCGAGGCTCCCCCCAGAGGGCGAAAGTAAAAGTGCACTGTCGTAAATATGCACAGCTGTTCTCCTGGTTTCTCCGTCAAGCCAGGCGCGGTTGTTTTGAGCTTAGCAGACAGGCAAACGCAACGAATGAATAATGCTGCGTTCACACCGCAGCTGGCGCGACAGAAGCAGCGAGTTTACATGCAAAGTCAATGGTTGACGCGTCAAGGCGCAGCAAAAGGTCCCGCGGCGCGTTTTGAGCAGCAGGCCCAGCGCGTCTGAGCAGCTGAAGCAGGGAGAGAGACACAGCGCTGATGATCAGAGGCTATGATCTCTCCTCTTAAACAGTTTATTGACGCCTAAATTAACTTAAAATGCAGAAATCTGCCGGCAGAACATGCAGTTTGGATTATTTAGATCAAAAACACCTACCAGCTGCTGCGGTGAACCGCGAGGAGGTGACCTGGCCAGAGGCTGCTGATGAAGGGATTCCTTCTGTCGGCGCACCGCTGGTATGTGGGGGTCTGAGCGGCTCCGACAGAAAAAATATTGAAGGCAGGATAATAATCTGAATGAACTGACGGCACTGATTACGTTTTCAGGTGTATTTTCTCATTTAAACACATATTAAAACTACTTTATTCCAAATGATCACAGCAAATATAGCTGCAAGGCAGAGAAAGGATAGTGAAGCTCCGCCCAACGCGCGTCAGACACACTTTTGCACCGCGCAGCCAGAGCAGCAAAGCTGCTTCAGCAGCGCGTCAGAACTAACTGGTACAAGCAGCAAAAATGAAGCAGCAGACACGATTTTGCTGCGTGAACGTAACATAACTGCACAAGGATCGCCACTGTGCTAGCAACGAGAATGCTTTTAACTGGGGGGTGTAGCAGTTCTCGCCGTAAAGCAAGACTGACTCTCACGAGACTTCTGAGCCTGTGGGTGCGGGTCGGTGCTCCTGCAATTGCAAGTGCGGTATTTCCCCCACAGACCACCAGGGCGGCAGAGAATATCTTTGTTCAACCTGAAATGACTCATTTAATCATCCAAAACGATATGGAACACATTAAATAACTGAAAAATGTTGCATAGTGTGCCTTTAAATGGGGAAGGCACAGTTTGAAAACCTCCAGCTATGAAATAAATCCGCCACTTTCGCTCAGAGAGCCTCGACGTTGTAGCGTGAGTTCCAGGTTCAAGTGCCACCAAGTAAATATAATTTACACCGATTATTCTGGGAAGACATTTCATGAAGTGACCGTTTCCCTTTTCTAAGCAGGAGCCCAAATTTGTTGCCATTCCTACTTGTTTATTTGTCCTTTTCATCTGTATTTTGTTTTTGTTCTCCTCCCAATCAAACACTGTAAAATAAGCGCACTAGGTTAATCCATTTCCCTTTGTTTTTTTTTACCCCTTTTGTGTTCTTTCTTCTAAAATGCACAAATGACATTAATCACTACCCTATATCCTCAGAGGGATTTTGGAAACACTTGAACCGTTTTCAAGTCTAACTTTAAGTTTAACCTCGCTTGGCTAGGGAATTTCATTGCCTTTATTGTGACTGAGGAATCCCTGGTGCTCCGATTTAAAAAGGTGATTCCATAACACTACATGCAGCTCTGATTACTAAAGCAAACTGCTTCCATACAATTAAACTTTTACATGGCTCAGACGTTTGGTTAGCTACTTTCTATTACTCTAGTTTTTATTTAATGTCTTTCTTATTTCAACATAATTTAACACGGAGTTTGCAGGGCTGAAAAATTCACAAAAATAAGGAAAAATTAGGAAAATGTCTTATTTCTAAAAATGTTGCCATTTGCAACCAAAGAAAACTGCTAGTTAATACAAATAACAGGGTTCCTACACAGTCTTAAAAAGCTGGCCATTTTCTTTCGTTGTTTAATAAGTACTGATTAAAAAAAGATCTGTTAACTTAGTTGGATCCATGTGTTGGAGCAACACATGGATCCAACTAAGTTTTCAAGTGATTAAGGTAATTATCGAACTCCTGTTAACACCAAAAAATGCTTAAAATATATTTTTTTCAGAAAATAACAGTATAAAAGAGAACAAGCTATTTGACTCAATAAAATGAAACAATTAAGCTTAAACAGTCTAGATGGGGCTTTCTTTTTATAAAAAACAAAAAACAAATGACTGTTTATTTGTTCTAACTGTGCAATAAAATCAGAGCTTAACGTCTTTATTTCTTAAAAATAATAAGCTAACAGATTGATCTTCAGACACCACAAGCTCTGCATAATTAAAGGTCGTCTGAAGATAAATAACTTCTTAAGTAGAAAACTTCCACAAACATGGACACAGAGATAGAGGACCCATGCAGCAAAAAAAAAAAACATGGCTCCTTCCCTTTTACATGAAGGGATTTAGATTGTGGACATCAGCACCGTTCCTTCATGCCTGCATTACATGTTTCCATGGTTACCAGTTTGATGGTGACATGCTGTGAAATGACTTACTTGCATAACAGAAAATTACCTCCGACAAAATAATGACCCAACCTGTTATTTGTGATCATAAATGCTCTTGGAGGAAATCAGGAATGGCATTGTTCAAGGAGAGCATTTAGACACCAAAAGGATATCTAGTTGAAGACGATGAAGTAAATGCTTCAAGCTTTAAAGAAAGTCCTGTTAGATTTCTCGTCGTCATTAGGAGCTGTGCATCCTCTGACCGTATGGGGGTGCTTAGCAACAGTGGGGATTCAGATTGAAGTTTGCGGCAGACGTGAAATAAAAGAACCCATTTTAAGTCAGATGTATCAAATTCAGCCTGAACACACATCTCTATTGTAGCACCACCACAGGATTATGGTAACAAGAAACCATTTAACTAAGATTAAAAATTATATTTAGCGCACAAACATGGCTCACCAGCATTTTAGCAAGATGACCCAACTTAGCGTTGAGGAGCACAAGCTGATTTGCAGCAGGGAGACACTGGTAGTATTACTCTAATAGCTACTAGTTAATAGGTCAGATAGGAGACTTCCTGTTTTGTTGCTGGCTGATCTTCACTTTAAGATTTCCACCAAGCCCCCCCGATTGAACCCTTGTTTAAAGTAGCTATGTGAGTTAGCAAATATGTAAGGTTTGAAATGCTTCAGCTTCACCGTTGCTTTGCACTACTGCGTTAGTTGGCAGTAGTGGTGTGTGCAACTCCAGTCTTTGTTCATGAGGCCCTAATAAATCAGTTTCTGGAACATGTACTACCTTAACCCCACAGTTAAACATTGTTTAGCCCTTTCTCAGCACTGCTTCTTGTGGATGATAGTTTTGGATTTTTTTTTTTTTTTTCATGCAAAATGATTATATTGCATTTTTAAAATCGGTCTATGGAGCTTTATGCTTAGCTTCTTACCTACATGCCAGAAATGGCCTAAATTGCAGTTGAGGGATTTGGAAATTTGATTCTGGAAAATGTCTTGTGTAGGAACCCTGAAATAAATGCCCACTTGTTAAATCCGGTGAATGAAAAGCTGCCATGGTGAGCATAAATCTTCAGCACTACAATGTAAAAAAACAAAGATCTTTGGAGATGTTTGAAGATGGGGAGGTAAAATGGATTGGTGAAAGAAATGGAAGGTTAGGAGGGCTTTTGTAATTCTTGTGTAGTGCGTCACTGTTGCCTCTCTGTCCGTCGTGAATGTGCATAATCCCCTCCTGTAATCCTAAACTGCCAGTGCTTTGCAGAGCATAGAAGTCATAGATGTTCTACTTTTTTTTTTTTTTTTTCCCGTCAGCTGCATCCTGTTCGAGGCTTCTCTGTAACGTTACAAAAACTTTGTGCGTTCCTTTTTAAGCTTATTGCGACTAAATGACTTGAGGGGAAAGTTGATTTAGAAAAGACAGAACCTGACTGCACTTCAGCAGAAGCTTGATATAATCAGGAGAAAGCACTGGCCTACACACGTGTTATCTTGATTCTTAAGACTGAGCCACTTGTTTATTTTGATTACGTTTTTTTTTAACCAATAGCCTCTAATTGAGGTTGTTGATACCTTCCAGTCTGATTATATTATAAACAATTGATGTGAGGTAAATGCAGTTCTGGTCAGAGGCTTACATATGCTCCTCATGGGCCATGATATTATGAGGTTTTAAAGGGGTGTATTGTTGAATATAAGCCATTGTCATCCTATCTACTGAGTGGATCGATTATTAAACATACAACTTGGGAAATTGGGGTTGTTCTCTAAGTGACACAGGGCAAATATAGGGACATGTTTAAGCTTTTTGGCAAAAAAACAACAAAAAACAGGCTTGTTTGAAGGAGGAAAGTTTGAGCTCTCAAATGTGAGCCCATCATAGCTTCTGTCAAACATGGTAGTGGCAGCATCATTCTGGGGGAACTTGTTTTTCTGTCAGTGTGGTACTATTGCATTCTAAAAAGTGGGTGAAATAACAAAGATGGAGGATTGCTTTCAGAATCCTCCAAGGTGATCTTAAATTAGCAGCTAGATGAATGAATTGGACTGGAATGGACAAAGCAAACATTAAAATCTACCTTATAGAAGACATAGGTGATTTGATGATTTTAGGTGAAAACCTTTTTAATGGCAAATCACCCCAATAAATGCTTAGCTTCAACCTATTTTGGACCAACCTGCATTGATAATGAGGAAGGGATGAGTCTGTAGAAATTCAAGCATCTGCACTATTAGGTAGTATATAGGTATTAAGTTAACATGTTGGATTAACCATCAACAACAGAGGAAAACCCCAATTCAAACTGGTTATTAATTTCTCAAATAAAAGTGTATTAGTGCCCATGATAAATGCATTCACACTTCTGTCTGGAACTGTATGTGGTGTCTATGCAAAAAAAAGGGAATGTGAAACATTTCAAAACACTCTCTGTGTCTTTAAATGACCTTTTTAAAAGGCGAAGCGCAGTAGAAGCACTTCAGCTCC